GTTCTTAGACCAACTAGCTGTGTGACCCAGCATGAGTTTCTTAACCTTTTTGAGCTTCAGTTTTTCCATCTGTGCAAAGCTGGTGTTCTATATATTTAAAAGGACTAAGGCAGTGCTTGGCACATGGGAGGCATTTGGCAAATTATTTTTAATGTTAGTATTACTAGGTTAAGCTCTTGTGGAGTGAAAAGGCCAAGAGAATAAAAGACCAGTTAATAGTTGAGTTTCGGTGAATAGGTTTTCATCAATCCAAAGACTACTTCTTCCAGTTGGGTAGTCCCTAGAAGGCAAAACCAAAAAATGGGAGCGCGATGGTCCTTGCACACCCTCCTTTGTGGGAACCCCCTATACTCCACTGAGGCTGAACATCCTTTTGTAGCCCAGGAGTCACCATTTCAGCATCTCATCAAGGCTCATGGTCCGAGTGCTGGCAGTCCCCAACCCTGGATCCTCCCCGGCTCGCCCCCACCCCACCCCACCCATCATAACTTACCTGCTCTCTGTTTAATATCTTTGCATTCATTTGCTCATGTGTGCTGACGTGTAACCCTTTCTCAGAGCCTGAGCACATTTTGAGGTGGATCCCAGAGAATTAATACAAGGTGGTTGTTTCACAGGCAGATGTGTCCGTGGCAATCATAACAGGAGCCAGTAAGCTGAGTGCTTCCTCTGTGTTAAGCACCACGGGCCCGTGCTTTAGAAGTATTATCTCACATAAGCCCCACAACTTCCGGTGAGCAGGTCTTATCACTGTCTCCGTTTCACAGATAAACAGACTGAGGTTTAGAGAGGTAAAGTAACTTGGCCTAGGACAGTGGTCGGCAAACTCATTAGTCAACAGAGCCAAATATCAACAGTACAACGATTGAAATTTCTTTTGAGAGCCAAATTTTTTAAACTTAAACTGTATAGGTAGGTACATTGTTATTAACTTAATTAGGGTACTCCTAAGCTGGCCTTTGCTAAAAACGTCCTCAATCTGATTGAGGTACATTCGCTGAGGTCGACCCCTTCCAACTCTCCCCTCCACACTCGTCTTGTATACTTGTTTCATCTATCTCCTTTCGTTCATCCTCTCTATATGTCCAAACCATCTCAACATACCTTTCTCAATCCTCAACACTACATCTTCTTTCATTCCACAATGTTCCCTAAAATTAACTTAATAAAGTTTACTTAAAGTTTTAAGTCAACTTCTCACTGTACGTGCGCTCCCACTGGTGGTATTTTGTGGAAGAGCCACACTCAAGGGGCCAAAGAACTGCATGTGGCTCGCGAGCCATGGTTTGCCGACTACTGGCCTAGGACAACCAATCCGCTGGGAGGAGGCAGTGCTGGAATTCACCCCCAGGCCTACCTGACCCCAGATCTGCTGCTCCTCACGGTTTTGTGCTGCTGGTGCAGGCAGGTCCTGGGTACTCATGAGTAGTTCCCATCTCCCTAAGCTTGATCCTGCCCCCAGGACCCAATTGACATCCTGCTTTCAGTCAAGTTAGTCACAATCAGATTAGTTGGGAACCAACGAACAGAGGTATTGGGAAGGTCAGAGAGAGACACGCTGGCCGCTGGCCTCCAGTCTACCCCTAGGCTAGACACTGCTCCTGGCCTAAAAGACTCTGGGCCTCTGCATGCCCAGGCTGCCTTCTCATTTCCAACACCCACCTAAACTCCAAATTCCCCAGGATCTATATTTGCAAGGGTCCTAATGGATGGATGGAGGAATAGTTGGAGGGAAAAACTATTTATGAATATTTTATTATACTCATTATTTATTATTTTTTTTAGCTTGATGTGTTTTATTTTTATGTTTAAATTTTATTTTATTGTTTAAAGTATTACAAAAAGTAGTACATATGTCTCCTTTTTTTCCCCATTGACCTCCCCCCGGCCTCCCCTACCCCCTGGCACTGCCCTCCCCTCTCCCCCCCCCCCCCCACAGTGTCTTGCGCCCATTGGTTATGCTTATATGCATGCATACAAGTCCTTCGGTTGATCTCTTACCCCCCCCACAACCCTCCCCTGCCTTCCCACTGTAGTTTGACAGTCTGTTCGATGCTTCTTTAACTCTATCTATTTTTGTTTTTATATGTTTTTTAAGTTGACTGTTAGAGAGAGGAAGGGAAAGGGACAGAGAGATAGAAATATCATTGCGAGAGAAACACCCATCGACTGCCTCCTGCACAACCCCTACTGGGGATTAGGCCTGCACCCCCCATTTATGTGCCCTGACTAGAAATTGAACCATCAACCTCTTAGTTCATGGGTCAGCACTCAACTGCTGAGTCACACTGGCTGGTCATTTGTTATCTACTAGAGGCCTGTTGCACGAAGAGATTCGTGCAATAGGCCTTCCTTTCCCCTGGCTGCTGGCACAGGTTTTCCTCCGGCACCTGGGACCCAGGCCTTCGCTCTGACCAGGGCTCTGGCCAGAGCCAGCCCCGGAGCTGTCAGGCCTCGCTCCACCGCTTGGAGCCTATGTATGCAAATTAAATGCCATCTTTGTTAGGTTAATTTGCATACTCTCCTGATTGGCTGGTTAGCATAGCAAAGGTATGGTCAATTAGCATCTTTGTATATTATTAGGTAAGATTATTGAATCAGATTCCAAAGTCTAAATCTAAAAGAAAAAAATCTGTGAAGTTTCTTGTGCAGCAACTCTTCCAAAAATGGAGTAATGAATCTCCCAATAAAGTTGTATAATTCCCAGGAAATATTCTTCTTTGTTTGGTCTGAAAACTGATGTGTGCCTGTAGAACAGCACCTTCTCAGTAGCAATCTAAATGTTGCATCCTCATTGAGCGCAACTCACAGTCATCAGGTAGTAAGAGATAATAGCTAACAGTGGTCACAGTAACAGTAATTTATTGTTCTACACTTACTGAGGGCTTTCCATGCACTAGGTGATAGCACAGGTTCTACCTGTTACAGATGGGGGTGGGCACTCTTGTCACCCCTGTTTACAATGAGGAAACTTGGGCACAGAGAGGTTAAGTGGTTTGTTCAGAGCCATAAAGTTAGTAAATGATAAAACTAGGATTAAACCCAGGCAGTCTGGCTTCTAATTTTATTTCCTTGTACTATTAAAACAGCCAGTCTTCTTCTATCTGATTATCAACTAAATCATTTTTATATTTTGGCAAAGAAGGCCAATGCTAAAGTGTATTTGGTACTTTGAGCAGCTCACGAAGCCCTATTGCAGAGAGTGAGTGCAGTAGTCTCCCAGGCGGGCTGCCCACGAGGATGGTGACTTGGAACTAAAGATGAGGGAAATTGTGCCAGCGTTTCTCACCACTCTCATAACTGCATTACCTTGACAATATGCTCCTCGTGGTTACACTGATACAACTTTTTTTCCACAAAAAATATTCTTAGTCTGAACTTTCTTTGGGTACTTTTGCAAGGTCATGACAGAGAGGAAAAGAAAAAAAAACCCCACTAAAATAACAAGTGACCTCCAAATTAAAATACATGGGGATCTTTTCACCTCAAATTCAAACTCAATAGACCAAATATTGACTGAATTGTCTATTTTAGTGCAAAGTTTACAGAAAGTTTTTCTGTCTCTGCTACCTGCTTTCAGCCAAAACTTAAATTTATTGAGAATCCTATGGTGGAAAGTTTTAATTCGAATTTCTCATTGGTATTCTCTCTGTAAATTGAATGTTGAGTACGAGTTCAGTGGTAGCAGAGCTTATATTTCCAGAGGGTTGGGGCTTACAGTTTACAATGTTAAGTCTTTCACTGAAAGAACCTTGAAAGTGTGATCAACACGATTGTTACCTGGTTTTCAATAATAACAACTGTAAACTTGCCCATTCCTTTGCATTTAATTTTCTATGCTTATCACATGGCTCTGTACCATAGACATGATCTCTTAGAACTTTAGAGAATTTCTGAAGCCAGGAAAAAACCAAGCAAACAACAACAACCAGTCACTCTTCTGTTCCACTAAACCTGACCCAGTGTTCTGCCTGATTCTAATTACCTTCAACAATTTACCCAGGATGCTTCAGTGTAACCACCTGGAAAAATGAGGGTGGAACTTTGATTCTGGGAGGCATATGGAAATTTAATTACTAGGTTTACAAAGTATTTTAAAATCCCCAGATAAAAGTGACCAGAGGACTGGAGAGGAATATCATTATTCGCAGCAGTGGGGTTATGTGTGTGTGTGTGTGTGTGTGTGTGTGTGTGTGTGTGTGTGTGCATGGGGTGGCTCTCAGCCCCATCCTCTGCAACCAGCCTCAAGGGGAGATGGAGAAAGAATCATTTATTCACCTTCTGGCTGCAAGAAGTGCAGGCTGCAGCTGTGGCAATTCTAGCACCGAGGAGAAAATACACATAGGAAAAAAGAAGGCCATGTCTCACTTCCAAATTAAAAAAAGACATTTCTACATGTTTCCATAACCCACAGACTGCTGCCATTTGAGGCCAACCCCTCAAAGTTTCCCTCTTTGTCTAGTGTAGTTGCTGAATCTAGGCCACTGTCAGCAATCCTTTTCATTCACCCGGGCCCAGCCCCACGCCTCACAGATGCAGAGGTTCTCTTGAGACATGTGTACTTTGGTATCAAACAATGCAACTCATGTTTGATTTTGGATAACCTTGCACTGTGAATAAAATAACCCTTGAGAAAGAAGCAATAAAAGCGCTGTAAGAAAAATGACTCATGTTTCGAAGCTGTCTAAAGTGATCACTTATCCAAACAAATGGTAATTCTTTCAAGACACAGTGGGCATGCACCATACTTATAAAAGTCTGGGAGAAAAGCCTTGCACATTTTTTAAAAAATTTGTGTTAAAATATATCAAAAGAATGTTTCTGGTAGGCTGTCCCAGACAGGGTATGCTTAAAAATAAAAACAAAAACCACATGCATGCGAAAGCCAAGGTGGATTGGCACAAGGGGAGGTCCTTGCCCAGCATCCGGGCTCATTGGCTTGGTTATGTCCTTGTTTATGTGCCTCTAATTGTTTTCCATTTTCTGCCCCCATTCGTTAGAGTGCAAAGATGTGAGCAAAGTGGCTTACTGCCCGCTGGTGTACAAGTTCCAGTTCTGCAATCGAGCATACTTCAGACAGATATGTTGTAAGACCTGCCAAGGACAGTGACCCACGGAAAGCCGTAGAAAGAGCCTTGTCATTTCATCCTGGAAACGTGTCCATCACAGAGAGCCACCCGGAGGAAGAGGATTGATGTCCTTGCAGATGCATTACCCTGTGGAAAACGTAACCACTGGTCAGCCCTAGCTGACAGGATTTCAATATTATTTTAACTTCTGTGAAGTAGGATTTATTGATCCAAAGTGCTGGACACAGTTTTAGGAGGGAATGCCAGATTGGAGAGGTCCAAACAACACAGGGAGACTTGCTTACTGTGGAACGTTTGTGTTCTTTCGAGTAAATCCAATAGCCTGTTTACCTCCTTGGACCATTAAGATAATTTTTATTATAGACTTAGCAATGACACTGAATCCATTTGTATTTAAAACTGTTTAAAATGTAGCTGGTATGATTTGGTCAACTATGGAAGTAAAGAAGATTCAGAAATCTTAAATCATAGCTTAAAAAAATATTTACTATACTTTATCTCACTACAACAGCACCACCATTTAAATTCTAAACTGGGCTTTAACCTGTAATTTAAGGAGCAATTATAAATCAAGACTAATGAAAGTTTGTATGATTTTTTTTTCTTCCTTCTACTTAATTTCCTTAGGAATAATCTCCCTGTTCTGAACACTGCTGTGAGCCATATATAAAAACTACATTAAACCTAACGACAGTGAAGGACTTAGTTGAAAGCAGTGCCTCAGTTACTGCAGCTGCGCAGCTCTATAAATTCAGTGCTAAAAGACTGTGGCCCGCCTGCCATGGTGCAAGTGAAGCTGAGATTCTCATTAACACTTTAAGAGAAAAACATTTCAGTGTCATGCAGAAGCCAGACCTGGGGTATGGTAGAGACTCAAGTACCAGGTCCTGTGCTGCCATCACACACGGATGCCTCAGCTCTTAATAGGAGTCACTCCAACTCACTCGTGTTTACAGCCACAGAATGGCTTCTGCCCCACTGGTGGCTGCACCTACACTAAGCTTACTGAGACGATACCAGGCAAAAAAGATAGACTGGCTCAGTAACAACCAGGCAGACCCTTTTGCTGACAGTTACGATGGGTTCCAGATGTCCCTTCTTTGATATGGCAGGAGGGCATTTATTTATATGGGAGCAAGTGTGTGTGTGTGTGTGTGTGTGTGTGTGTGTGTGCGCGCGCGCGCGCGCTTTGGGGTAGATGAGTATGCTTGCACATAAACGTGCTATTTCTCTGAGTTTTTAAGTAGGCAAGGGATAACAACCAAAGAAGAAAAACTCATGAAGACTAGAGATCACAAAGCCTAATTTTAATAGTCACTCAACCAAGTATTTTATATTTTTTATGGTTATCCTGAATAGCAACTAAATGTGAAACCCAGTTTCTTGAGCAGGTCAAATTCTAGAATCAAATCCACCTAATTTAAATTGACTAGCTCACACATTCCCTATCCACAAGTTTCACATCATGCTCATCAAAACCCATGACAGTGAAATTTAAAAAGAAAGAAAGAAAGAAGAAAAAGAGGGTACTTGTTTATATGAATATTTTGTACTTGAACACTTGTAGCTTGCAGCAGGTTCCGTTGAATGTGCTCTGTATCCTACACATGTGTCCACCATGCTACACCGACACCTCACACTCCAGCCAAATGGCTGCTCTGTAAAGATACTACTTGCAGTTGAAGAGCATATCTGACTTACATCCATCACTATGCTCTGAGACTCCACGTCAGGTGTATGACCTAGACCATGACTTGATGGGGGTGATTAGGTGCTTTCAGAAAGGAGGAGAAACTCACAGACTCCAAAAACCAACCTAGATTTCAGTTGTGCTGTGGAGAGTGAGCATGGGATGGGGTTCTGCACACTCAGTCGTGCTCATTTGTCTCTCATCACCTGCTTTCTCAACCCCACAGCTCATGTCCCTGCGCTTTCCAGGGAGAGCTGTTGACAATACTTGAGAGTTGCTGTCAGGGCCCCTGTCCATGCTGCCTCAGAATACTGCCCAGGTGCCGTCTTAGCCATTCAGCAAAGGGAGGGCCAGGGGCCCCAGCACTGAATTCCCATGGTGCTTTGCAAAGAGCAGTTAACTTGGTGCTAATCTGGTGAAATAGACAAAAGATGAGTGGTTTCTGTGGCATTTTAGGCACAGGTTTGCCATCAGGATCTGCTTTTCTCCAACATAAATATCAGCTCATATGTTTATTTAAACAGATTTCTTACATTATTGATTAAGGGCTATTTTTTTTTTTTACCTCACTTGGAAACGAACATTGCGAGGGCCATCCTCCCGGGCAACAGGCACCCCTGACTGGTTGTGGAAGAGGAGGGCAGCCAGTGCCCTCTGGGGTGTGCACAGCACCAGGGGGCTCCCAGGGCCAGCATCAGGTCACCTTCTCAGAAGAAACCAAGCACAGAACGTAATAGGACTAAACATTTCAGATAGGCCCTGAATTAAAATCCGAGTGAGGAAAAATGCCACATTCCACAGCACACCACAATACCGCTGCTGCTCTGTAGTCAACCGCGTGACTACATACGCTCTTTTCCTAAATAGTAACAGCAGGATCATCAGTGGAGGCCGAGGCCCCATGGCAGGCCCTCCAAAAATAGTGAGCTCTATAGACTACTTAGGGAACCCCAAGGAAGCTGGTACCCCATGGCTGAGAGCAGTATCTGCCACTGGCAGAAAAGCCTACTCAAAACTGAAAGGGAAATATCCCCAACTGATTAAACCCCTTGAAACACATATGACTCCCCGATCAGTTCATTTCATTAGGAATCTTTTATTTGAGTGAATGTCACATAGGTATCCTTAATAATACAGAATGAAATTACCTTTGTATTATTGTGATTAGTTGTTGCTTATTATTTTGTACTCAGTATTAATGTGGTACACTGTTACTTATTTTTTTTTTTTGCTTTTGTAAATTATATTCTAATTTATTGCCATGTTTCCTAACACTTGTCCTTCATTCATTCTCCTGCTTGTAATGAAAATGAAAAGTCATTGTAACACTTGATGGAGTGAAATTCCACACCAGGCACAGATTTTTTATTAACATAGATAATTTAGTAAAAATAAAAATTCAGCTTGTAAGAATGATTCCAATGGAAGTTGTCTATTTCTTTCTTTCTTTTAATATATTTTTTATTGATTTTTTACAGAGAGGAAGGGAGAGGGATAGAGAGTTAGAAACATCAATGACAGAGAAACATCGATCAGCTGCCTCCTGCACACCCCCTACCGGGGATGTGCCCACAGCCAAGGTACATGCCCTTGACCGGAATCGAACCTGGGACCCTTCAGGCTGACGCTCTATCCACTGAGCCAAACCGGTTAGGGCAATTTCTTGAACAGCTGGTATTAAACTTGCAGGAGCTATCCCTTGGAATACCACAGCTACATTATCCTAGTTTTCCAGGTAGTATCCAGGATTGAGTTAATTTATTGAATCCTTGTCACCTTCCCCAGAGATTGCACCTATTTATTATTATTATTGATTTTAGATAGGAAGGGAGAGGGAGATAGAAACATCAATGATGAGAGAGCATCATTGATTGGCTGCCTCCTGCAAGCCCCACACTGAGGATTGAGCCCACAAGCCGGGCATGTGCCCTGACTGGGAATTGAACCATGACCTCCTGGTTCATACGTCGATGCTCAACCACTGAGCCATGCTGGCTAGGCTGTACCTGTTTGTATTTCAATAATATCTAAATGCAAGGGCTTTGGATATTTTTGGCAGGGCTATATCCTCAGATGCCATCAATCAGCTATTCTAAGACTAGAGAAGAAGTCCAGATTGGCCACAGCCACATACCTTTAGTCACTTGGATTACAACTCTTTTGCCCCCTCCTTCTTTTTGCCTTCCATGTAAATAAAAAATGAATGCCGAACAGAAGAATGCATACTTGAAGGTTTCTGCTAATAGTCAACGTGGGGAGCATAGAAGCATGAGAGGTATGCTTTCCCACCTTCAGACATGCAGTCTTTGCTGAGCTGGGCTCACTGTCTTATGCAAAGGAAATTCAGCAGCCAATATGCTGCTTAGCTATTTGAGTCCTTTCATAACGACAGCTCCATCGATTACATAAGAAGATGTGGAAAGCCTGAGCATGGTGGCGCTTTAATCCTTTTACCCCCAAGCCTCATACATACACATTCAATCTTACACATCAGAAGAAATCAGGTGAGATGATTAGGTCATCTTGGGGAGTATTTCCCCAAAGTCATCCTGGAAGCCAAAAGTGGCTGAAGTTTTGTGAAAGTTCAATTAATGAGAAGACCCTGGGACCCACCGTTTTAACTTCCCACTGCATTTTCAAAGAGTAGTTCTGCTAGCGGCGTGGAGGGGGAATACCAAGAAACAAGGCCTGCCTTAGCTTAGATTCCTCAGATTTGAGTCTATCTTTTCACCTACAGTGGTTTTCAAGTTTTCAGTTAAATGTTTTATCCTTTCCCCCCACCCTCCCCCACCTCTTTGAAATGACTAAAGGACACTATCCTTCTTAGGGCACTGACCCCACAACAATCTACCTCCCTCCCTGGAGGTCTGCCACTCTCTGGAGAGCACTAAGATCATCCCTTAAGACTTTATGCTCCAAAAGGCCAGGTGACCTTTTTTTTCAAGGAAATTAGAAAGTAAGTTGGGTATTGATCTTGGCAAGAAAAAATGCGTGAATTTATTTGACTAGGATAAGATTCATTATTTTTTAATCCTCACCCGAGGATATTTTTCCCATTGATTTTTCTAGAGAGACTGGAAAGGAGTGAGAAGGGGAAGAGAGAGAGAGAAACATGGATGTGAGAGAGACACATTGATTGGCTTCCTCCTGCATGCTCTCTGGCTAGGGCTGGGATCAGAACCTGTAACCTAGGTATGTGCTCTTGACCAGGAATCAAACCCAGGACCCTTCTGTCTGTGGGCTGACACTCTAATCACTGAGCCAAACTGTCTAGGGTGAACTTCCATTACTTTTAAAAGAAGGGGAAAAGTGTAGTTCAAAAAGGAAAAACAATGGTCACAGCCCACAAGGACTGGAAGATTCTAAGTAAGTGGTCACAGGAAAGAGAAAAGATCAGCCATGGAATAAAAAAGCGATGGAGAAGCTGTGTTTGGAATTCTGTCTCATTAGTATGTATGATTAGAATGTGTGGAATAAACTAACATAGGTTGTTTTTTTGTTGTTTTTTTTTAAAGAACAGCTGTTTCACAATGGTTTTATGCCTCGGACTTGAAAACCTCAAGCTAGGACTTAAAAGGAAAATGGTCTTTTCTCCCATCTCTTTCTGAGGGGGTTATTTCTGGCATTCCCTGCCCCTCGTTTTACCCTCCGATAGATAGTACCTGAGGCTAGAAATGGAACAGGTTTGAGGACTGGCTTCACTCTCAGAGCGAACCAAGATTAGGCCTGTATTGTCTTTTGGTGGATGGCTCTCCTTAGCCCACTGGAAACCTTGAGCTGCATAGGTGATGACAGCTAATGTCCACAGCAGCATCCTGTGTTCACTGGAACGACACTGTAGTTACACAAAGGCCTGGGAGCACCAGGCAGGAACAATCTCTCCAGGTAATAGAACGTCATGACCAGTCAGATTCCACTGCCCAAGACCTTAAGGCTTGTGACGTTCAATCAACAAGTCTCTTTTTGGCCGTGGCCAGGTGGCTCAGTCAATTAGAGTGTCACCCCCGATATATATGCCAAGGTTGAGTTTTCGATCCCCAGTCAGGACACATAAAGAATCACCAATGAATCATAAATAAGTGGAACAGCCAATCAATGTGCCTTTCTCTGCCCTGCCCCCGCCCCTCTCTCCCCCTTATTCTCTCTAAAATTAAAGAGAGAGAAAGAGGAGAAAGAAAGAAGAGGTCTCTTCTTGGATCTTGGCTTGGGTGCCTTCCTTGCCTTACAGAGAAGTTGCACATGAGAAGGAGCAAGTTAACCCACCAGCTCCAGACCTCCCAGAAGTCAAATGCTTTCCTCTGGTCAATGTCTCAGCAGGGGGTGGCTTCTATTAGCTCCAGGCCAATGAAAGACTTGGAGGGGCCTGATCTGTGTCTCCCAGCAAGGGCAGTTGTAAGCAGTCATTGTGAGATGAGGCCCCTAAAATCCCAAGCAAATGTAGCAGCAGGAATTTCCAGTTCAGGGCCAGGTGTGGCCTCTGTGTCTACGAGTGGCATCAGCTATGGTCATTCATTCATACAACCAATATTTACTGAGTGCTGGTTGTGCAAAGCCCTGTGCTAGGTACTTAATTAATATATGCTCTCTCATTGAATGGGTGGCAACAAAACTGTGAGGACAATGCTATTAATCCCCATTTGCAGGTACCCAAACTGAGGCTCAGAGAGGCTAAGCGCCTAGGGCCACAGAAACAAGAGGGGGACGTCATCTCTTTGGCACTCTGAAGGGAGCTGCCTGGTCTGCATTTGGGACAGGGAAGTTAAGAAGGATGCTCCTCCACCAGAGAGACACTGACTCCCCAGGCCAGAGGAAATGGAGTCCTTCTTCCTGGGAAGCAGTGGGCCCAAGGCCTTGGGAGGGACCTCAGGGGTCAGGGAAAAGGAGAACTTCGGTCTCCTGTCTCGGTAGGTGGTGGTGTTCACTATGAAAGTTTCTATGTCCAGTGACAAAATGACTAGTGGAGGCCCACAGTAGTTCCCAAGCATGTAGTTAGAGTTCACGGGAAGAGAAGGAGCAGGAAGATCAGAGACATTGGAGGAGGATCGTGTCTGCGGTGGCAGTTAGAAGCCAAACACAACACGAAGGCTCTTGCCTCCTGAAACGTCCAGCTTTGAATCACAGAGCCTGTTCCTGCTTGACAGCCACAACTGCCCCGCCCCCACCACCACACACACACACCCCCCTCCCCATTTCCAGACATGCCAGGTGGCCTCACTGACCTATTTCAACACAACTGGAGCCGGATGATTCCCGTGTTGGCTTTGGGGTAAATTTTGAGAAAGAAAGGTGGGTTTTTCTCTGTTTCAGTCAGAGCAGGACCATTGGGGCTTGAAAACTTGGGCCATTAGGTTGCTGCCAGCAGGCACATTCTTTGACCTTCTGTGGTGGGTCCACAGAGTGGAACCAGGTGTTCTTTCAGCTCATGCCAGAATGTATTGGCCGCCCAACTGGCCACCTGCCTCCACCCCACCGACGGGGCTTTGGCTGGCTCTCTACCAAACAGCTGTGCTGGGAGCCACAGGTGGCCGCCCACACTTGTGCCCAGGCCAGCAGCTGCACTGGCCTGGCTCAGCCTGGCAAGATGGACCTCATGTCCCTCTGCCCCTTTGCCCCAACTCCTCCCCAAGCCAGGTCACTCAAGGGGCTGAAGAGAAGGAAAACCAAAGCTTACATACACTAAAAAATTGCTTTTGTGGTTCAAAGGCAATCAAAAAGCATACCGCTCTTCAATATAATTAATTTTGATATTTTATTTCAATCATTCAAATTAATCTGATGAAAATTAATAGGTAACTAGTTCCTGTTTGTTGGGTGTATTATTGTTAGAATAAAAGTATACTGATACTATGTATCTATATAAATATAAAGGCAAAGGTTGATGACATTCCAACTTCAAAAAAATAGCAATATCTGGGAATTCTAAGAATCTAGACAATAAAGAGAATTATTTGATATTCTGTGGTATTCTGTAACAATACCCACAGAAGTAGCTAAAATACAATATGAATTTGAATTAAAGTGAGTAGCAAAAGCTGTTATCACGGCTAAACTAATTGCAATAAAAATCATTTGATTCATAGTCTTAAACTTTAGAACATAAAAAGCAAAATTGAGAAATTAAGTATTTTATTTTGAGTTTAAAAAGAGAAAGTATTTGTTGAGCCAGGAAGATGTCATTATGTACTGACTCAGGGTCCAAGTCCCCGCCAATGTGGGCGCTCCTGCTGGAGGAAGTGTAGGGGACCCACTATTTTATTTTGTCCCATATTTAATCTTAGTTGCAAAAACTATAGGCACCAACTATCTCTTATGCCTGGTGTTCTAAATCAATATGTTAGAACTTAACTCTCAAAATGTAAGCACTGGAGTTCTCTCTGT